GTATATGTATATGTATATGTACATGTATATGCATGTGTGTGTGTGTGTGTGTGTGTGTGTGTGTGTGTGTGTGTGTGTGTGTGTGTGTGTGTGTGTGTGTGTGTGTGTGTGTGTGTGTGTGTGTGTATGTATGTATGTATGTATGTGTGTGTATGTATGTGTGTGTATGTATGTATGTATGTATGTATGTATGTATGTATGTATGTATGTATGTGTATGTATGTATGTGTATGTATGTGTGTGTATGTATGTGTATGTATGTATGTATGTATGTATGTATGTATGTATGTATGTATGTATGTGTGTGTGTGTGTGTGCGCGCGCGCACGTGTGTGTGCGTATGCGTGTGCATGTGGGCGTGTGCATGTGCGTGTGCATGTGCGTGTGCATGTGCGTGTGCATGTGCGTGTGCATGTGCATGTGCGTGTGCATGTGCGTGTGCGAGCGTGTGCGTGTGTGTACATGAAAACTGATATCCTCCCAATTAAGATCAAAGGTCGGCGACCTTTCCGTCGAGTCCAACCGCTCTCAGTGCCGTAGAAGTTACCTTTAGTTTCCACCGAATGGCAGCCGGGATCTTCAGGCACGGCTCCAAGTCTACACACAAAAAACGAGCTTGAAATAAATCATGGTTTCCACATAGAATTACGCGTTACGAGTTTATTTAAGTCTACCCTGGGATGTTGTTCCTTTGGCGAAACGCGTTATCATAGATTTGTTTTTTGTTTTTGTTTTTTTCGTCTGTCCTTGAAATTTATGATGTGGGCTAAAAACGCATTGTGTAAAAAAGCAAGCTCAGCGAACGGGATCCACCTTCCTTTCGCGAATCGGATATAATGACTGCACGATTTTGGAAGGTTCGTCTAGTACTTCATAAATTATGTACACATGCTCGCGCGTACACAGGAGTCATTTCCAGACAATAAAATCCAAACCGTGTCTTTAGTCTCACTTTCTAAAGATTATTCTTGTCCCCTTCACCGTGGTGAGTGATAGCTAATTCATTCTTAATGCGTTTGTCGCGACGTTAGAGTCCGTGTGATTTAGTATCAGTATCTGTACTGTTATTCCTCCTGGTGAGAAAAATAACGATCAAAGGTAGCAATTACGTAAGACGTTATTTCTATTTTGAGAAAAAAAAACTAATAATTCTTAATTACGCCCCAATTACGAAAATATTGCTAATAGCACTTAATTGCTCGCGAGTGGGAGTCGGAGCCCATCCTACCTGGAGCACACGGTCGTCAGTACCAGGTGCAGGGACTGAGCCAGGAACTTGACGAGGGCCTCCAACTTGGTGGGCACGGCCAGAACCATGGCCGACACGCCCCCGCCCTCCAGATCTCCGCACACCTCGCCCTCGCAGCCGTTCCCGCCGACCTTGGCGGGGCCTGGGGCGGGAGGCAGGTCATCCTCGTAGTACCCCGAGAAGAAGGAACTCGGGGCAGTGAGGGTGAGCGAGGGGGCGGCGGGGGGGTCCGTCGCGTAGGCGCCAAGGATGGGCGTCAAGGAGAGGCCTGGCGCGGGGGATTCCAGGGAGAGGAGGGCAGCCAAGACGGACGGCCTTCGCGCCCGCGCCGCCCGCACCACGACGGCGGTGGTGGTGTCCTGCGGGCGAAGCATCCCCCCGGCGCTGAGGTGGTGTGGCAGGGACCAAGGCGACTCCTCCGGGCCCGCCCCGGCGTCGTCGCCCCCCAAGTGGTGCGGCAGCGACCACGGCGTCTCGTCCATGCTCAGGGCCGGCCATGGCTGGCTGCCGGGGTTGGCCCACATCGGGGCCTGGGTGCCCCGACTGCCCCAGAGGTGGCTGTGGGTGCCTGGGTTGTCCCATAGGCGAGTGTGGGTGCCAACGCCAAGAGGTGAGGAGCATGACGAGTGCCAGCTGCAAGCGGACGAGCAGGTGGTCCCAGAAGCCCAAGAATGCCTCGCATGACCCGTGGGAGTCGACATGTTGACTGCGATAGTCAGTAGTCACGTTCCCTCCTCATGCTCTTGCTGCTCCGGCATCTGCGGTTCCTGTTCCTGACATCGCTGCCACCTTGTGACGCCGCGCACGCTAAGTCATCCAAGGAGATGATGGACTCCATCTCGGCGGAGCAGAACCAGCTCCCGCCCTTAGGATGGGGGGGTTACGGGCTTTCCTGTGGTGTCATTAGAGCTGCCTTCTGGAGAGGAAGGAAGCAAAATTAAGAAAGCAGGCAAAGGGAAAGGGGTGGGCAAAGGGGGCTCTATGCCAAGCTAAATGGTGAGGGAAGGGTCTGTGTGTGAAGAATCGAAGACAGACTGAGGGACGAGAGAATATCAGGGGGTAGGCAGTTGGAGGGGAAAGGGGGAACTGAGGTAGCGTTTGCGATTCGCAGTTTTTGGGAAACTGCTGCAATATCCTAATGAAACGGACCAGAACGGATGCGTTTCTGCTCTGTTAATTTGACTCTAGTTCAAACCAGCTCCACGTCCTTCAGCGCCACCGGGGCATTTAGTTCCACAAAGGCTGACGGCA